CATTCCTCTGAGCTGAGCTTTTAGCTCCTCCCCTCCCTACCCCACAAAAGTTCTGCTATAGCATTTGAATCAGAGGCATTTAGAAGGTGCAGTGCATTGGTGTGAATGCCCAGACAGCCCAAATGCATGGCAGTGGTTGGAGTCAAGAAGGGGAGAAAAGTCTTCAACTGAAGATATGGAAATATTTCTTCTCAATGCATCTGTATGTGGTGTACAACAGGGAGACTACTCCCTTGTTTTCTCTTTCTTAGTTTTTGACTACGAATGTTGGTTTGTTGTCTACACCAAGCACGGAAATGAGGATGGTTTTCTGTTTCACTGCACATAGATCGTTTTGAGAAAAAAAAAAAAAAAATTAATCAAATGCTGTAGCAGAAGAGAAGCCTATCAAACTCTGAAATGCTATGCTTCTTGTTAGTAACAGTCCCTGGTATTCATTTCCACCCTGCCATTTGGATTCATACACAATAATAGAATCTGACACATCATGGGGAAAAAGAAAAGTTCATATATATATATATATATGTGTAAACTATCATATATATGCGTATATATGATATGTGTGTGTGTGTATAGATAGATAGATACACACACACACACACACACACACACCATCTTTAAGGACAAGGGGAGGGTGCTGAGGGTGGAATAAATTTTGAAACCATTTTGTCAGAGGCAAACTCATCATAATGGGAAATGTAAACCTCTTCCTTGATAAGGGCTCAGAAGGAAGCATCACTTTAAACCAGTGCCTCTCAGGGACTGTTTGCAACTATTACTGTTGGCTGCTCTGAGGCCCATGCATTGTTTGAAAATGTCATATTGTTAGCATGCAGGAGCAGGCCAAAACTGGTCATCGAAGCAGCAAAAAACCATTTGCTATAAGAAGATGAACTGTTAATTATAAGCAGTCACATTCCAAAGCAGCATATGCATAAAAGAGAAAACATGCTATTTATTACTCGTCATTCCTTCCCAGTCAGTTTTACACTCACACAAAATATGATATAGAAATCTCAAAAGACAAACACACACTATCACACACACAAAAAAAAAATCAGCAAGAATGATCAACGAGAGGCCCAAAGACAAGACAGAAACAGTTAAAAATGATTGAGCCCCACACATTCACAAACCTTTCTGAACTGCACTGGCTACACCAGTGTGTTACCATCTGCGAGGGGAGCTCCCTTGCTCAACTGCTGGGAATAGTTCATTTTCTTTGACTCCCTGCCCAGAGTCTTGACCTATATAAATTCTGGGTCCACTCTCTTAAATGTTAAGACCAACTCTGACCTCAGTTCTGGAAGGTCCATAGAACTTGAAGGATGTGTGTGTCCCAGGTAGAACTTTCCCTTGGGAAATTGTAACAAGTCTCAGGTAAGCTCTTTAATGAAAAACTAATGAGGATGTGCCTCCCTGGTGGTAGATGTTCCAGAAAATGTAGACACTCTGTGTGTAAAATTATCCTCTTAAATTGTAAAAATAAAATTGGATCAAAATTAAGCCATGGACCTCCCAAATCAGAAAATGCCACCCCTATCTCCATCAACTCGCTCTCTAGCATCTTAATCCTTTAGTTTTAGTGAATTATAGATATTCTAAACCACTCATATTTTATTTCCTTTTCTCAGTGATTGTTTCCTTTTCTAGAGCTGAGGTAGGTTAGAAGGTTAATTTCAGATATCCTGCAGTTCAGTTTCAAAGAACAAACTCTGAAATTTTCTGTATTCATTTAAACAGAAGGAAGTTCCTTTGTCTACTCCTTGGCAACACAAAGCACTGCTCACTCCTTTTGTGCTTCCTTCTTTTCTTTTTGATGTAGTCACCCATGGCTCCCTTCTTAAATCCCAAACCTCAGAAAAGGGAGTTTTCCCCCCAAGATTTCAATGGGAATAGGCAGTAGATCTATGAGGACATCTAGTGGACTGGTGTGGAAGAGCAGCTAGTGGACGGACAAGCTAGCAAGGCTTTCTCTGAATGAGAACAGGACTTTGCAGTCCCTAAGAATCGAAATGCGTAGAGAATCCTTTCAATTTTGACTGCTTCTCACTGATCCATGGTCGACGTTTAGGGGCAGTGAGGAATAAGGGGAAAGAGGTCCTAGGAGATGGTCAAGTGCTTTTGCAAGCATGGGACAATACAGAACAGGACTACTTAATCAACAGATGGCTGGATCTCCTTGAAGCCCTGCTGCAGCTTCCTCAGACAGGAAACAGACAAGAGTGTGGCTTGGGCAGGTGTGAATACTGTAGCTACTTGTCATTCCATCTGAGGGTTCTTGGAAGTTTGCACTCAATTAATTGTACCCATAGGCAGACTCAACCCTGGGAAAGCAGAAATATAAGCCTCTGGGGATGCAGTTCTCTCATTGGCCTACATCATAAGGTTCTTGTTCTTGGACCAATGCCACATATTGAAAGAAGTTATGTGGTTGCCAAGAATTAGAACAGGGGTCTCACCTCCGTCCAAATAACTGTTCTAGCAGTTTTACAATTTGAGGAAAAGCTTTTATGTGCCTTCCTTCACCACAATTAAGTGGCTATTCATCCAATAATTCCATTATGACTTCCTAGTATTATTTATAGGGACAGAATAAAAGTATTTTCCCAATGGACATAATCAAAGCTGTTTACTCTTGCGTGTTTAAACATGCAATGTTTCTCAGGAGTACTCTTGGACAACTTTTCCTACATTTTCGAAGGTGGTGATCATGGTATGAAAACCTACAGAGAAGTGGCTACTGCTGACTTAGTTACTGCTTAGTTACTGCTCTTTCCTTGAGTCAAACTGACAATCAGCTGTCAAACCCAGGTTCTCTGCTGGTTGGCCCTTCCAAGCCAACCCTGGAATGGCAGACAGAGCTGGCTTCCATCCTGTCCTCAACACCATCTGCCTCCTGCAGCAGCCACCAAATTGTTCAGCCAATTTCCAATTGCAGAATCTTAATTTCCAGGGCGGATTGGAAGGGGCACAAGAAGCAGAACTTGACTGAGAGGCTCAGGTGGAGTTTTCCAACTGTTGGGGAAAAATATTTTAGGTTTCAAATGGAGCAAATGTGAGAGAAGACTGCTGTGGAAGGTAAACAATTCTGCCATTCTATTAACAGACACTTCTCAGATCATAACCTGGAGTTGAAAATCTGTCCAGTGAAGGAAGGAGTATTTCCAAGCATGGATCTTGGAGGTGATCTTAAAACTCTAGGCAGAAACTAAAATTATAAATTAAAAAATTCATGCAAAAAAAGAGTCCACTTGCAGTTTAAGGTTGAGGAATTTGTTTGAGGTGACACTGGGAGTCAGAGAATGTTTTTTCAAGTCCTGTAAATTAGGAATGATGTCTCACTTAGCAAAATTCCTCCCATTAGCTTCTGGAGGGAAAAGAAAGATCTTCCAGGTGGTTTTCCAAGAACAGAAAGAGGGAAAAGGAAAAGCTAGTTAATGTCAGCATCACAGAGCACACAGAGCAAGTTGATTCCGCCTGTAACAACCATATCAAGGCTAGGGAAGGCGGAGCGATTTGGCACTGGGGTTGTTTGTTGACTGACATAATGCTTCCCCTCTGATTCTTAGGGAATCATTAGATGTAGTAGGCAGCTCTTCAGGTATGAAAGTGGCTCAGCCTCTCAAATCATCGTCAGAGGTGTTCTACAGATGAAGGGAGCCACAGAGTCAATTTAGGCAGAACTGGGTGCTGAACTGAAAGTCACTGTTATATTTTGCTTTTATACTGAGCTTCCATATCATTTGCCCTCCAAGCTCTAAAGACTACCCTGAACCAGATAACTGACTTGCCTCTTTTTCCACAAACAAATATGAGTGCACTGAGTACTGAAATATCTCCTCCAATTCCCCAAGCATTGGACTGAACTAGTCTGTAAGGTGAGTCTCTTTTTCAGTGTAGTCTCATGGAGGTGAGTAAAGCCCTTCTGCCCAATGCTGGTGTCAGTGAAACCAGCACTGCTCTAAGTTACTCACAGAAATACTGGCCTTAAATGCTCTTCCTCAATTGTCAATCTTGTTGGGTGAGAGGGTCCTACTTGTTCAGTAACAAAGTCAAGGGTTCAGAGACTTAAATTTACATGCCCAGACTTCTACACAGCTCATTAATGTGATGGAATGTTCTCCTTGAGCCATCTTTTCAGTCTTGAATCAGTAAACATCTCTTCCAGGATGCCTGACTCATACCCATAGAGGAACTGGGTATATCCTAATGGGTATTTATTAAAAGAGACATTTTATTTTAGAGCAAGGGAACTTCATAGACTATAGGAAATAATTACCACTGTGGAAATACTTGTCTCCGGTAAAGCAGTTTAGATACTTACATTCCCAAAGGTGGGCACGTAATTCATTCTCTACCAAGCTTTCTCATATAGAGAAGCATATATTCTGTAATAAATACATCACCTTCTCTATAAAATATCTCTATATTTATATATAAAAATATAAAGTACAAGTATATATCATATACATATATATATATATGTATATATCACAACATATGAATATACATGTAGCATATGTTGCCTTCAAGATATGAATTCACGCTCAATAGCAGAGGAGACCAAGTATAATTTATCACAGGCAAGCATGACAATGACCTCCAACTGACTAGGCATCTAGAGCTAGAGTGGTAATTACTTCAGCCTAATCAGTGTCCCCTAAAAGTCTGGAGACAAGTCCTTCAAGAGAAACATTGTTGTCGAGGTCTTATTTTCAAATAGAAAAATAAGACGATGCCAGAAGCTGGCAAGAGGCTGAGGGGGGTGGAGTGAATGAACAGAGAGTGGCTTCCTTGCCGCTCTCTCTAGCTCCAGGCTATTCTGTGGACGGTGTTGAAGGATGAGGAAGTCAGGGGGGCATGATGTCACTGCTACATGCAACATAAATACCAAAAGAAAAAGAAACTGAAATTGTACAGAAAATAAAAGGAGTATCTCTTCTAGAGAAAGACAGGGGAAACTGGACTTCGGGCTGCTGGGAACCCGTTTTACTCACAATATATCACTACCAGTGTGCAGTTAAAATAGAGTGGGGGCCGTATTCCAAGGCAGCAAAGAGAAAAAATAAATCAAGAATATGTCAATGATTAGACGTTAAAGAAAATTCCTTCAAACACATCAATTTAGACATCCTTGTCCCTTAGGGTTCCACCCTTTGGCAAACTTTTAGAGGCTGAGGGAAAAACATAAATCATTAGACCAGGTTTGTCATACAGAAAAAGAAAACGGGTAAGTAGTAGGGTGGAAAGCTTGCTCCTTGGCCAGACAGCTGAATTGGACTTTCTTCCTTGTTGCAGAGCTATGAAGAAATGGAAAGAAATGCAAGTGTTAAACTATACTACCACAGAATTATCAGAAATGTGCACATGGAATGTCCACACTTGGTATTTCTCTGGAAAACATGACATGAAACTTTTAAGGTTATAGATGAAAAGGAGGGGAAAGTTGGGTTGGGGAAGGAAGGTTAGCAATCTGTGGCTGAAGTCCAGTGACTGTCATTAGCCCTGCTCTCATGGAGATGCAGCATTCCAAGGTGAATTTTAATACCCAGCCTACCTAACAGGCTTGGGCAAATAATCATGTGCATCAGTTGCCCTCTTAGACCTGGGCAGGGTACCAGGCAATGTGTGTTGAAAAGGAAGGGAACCAACAATTCATTACCAACACTCCTAGCTTTCTGAGACAAGACTAGCTGCCAATAATGAAAGACCTTCTACTTAAAATGTCATCACCACCAAACCACAACTTCCCCAATTTTCTTACTTGCCTGCCCTACATGGGGAAGTTTATTTTCAATAATTTGTTTTATTCTAATTACCACTCCCCAAAAAAACACACATGCATCCTGAGCCCTGTAACACAGGTTACTATCTATGATTTTTAATTAGGAAGAACATCATTTGGACAATCAGATTGTTATCAAATATTAATAAAGAGGAGCAGCTGAACTACCCTTGATGGGAGACTCTAAGAGGAAGGATGCAGAGAGAAGGGAGGGAGCCTGTGTCCTATGGGCTTGGCTTTATCAGGGCAGCTCTTCTGCAGCAATCTGCAGTGTGCATGATGGAATATCCCATGCTTCACTAGCTGAACAAACCTTAAGGGAAATGAAGAGTATAAAATTATTTCAAACAATTATATGCCTCTCTCTCTAAGCTGAAGCTGAAGGCCACTGCTGTTTGCTTGCTTGGAACCAAGGTGGAAAAATACACAAGGGACCACATCCTTATTTCTAGGTACTTCAAAAATGGTCTACTGTGTTCTACCATATTACAGTAGACTGAAAGGGACATTGCAGTCTGACATCAAGAGTTCAGGGAGCCCTTTCTTCACCCTTCTGCTTCTATTCATGTCAGACAGAGTTTCTCCATCCAGTCAGGGAGATGTTTAAAAATAAGAATCAATGCCATTTCCTTGCTTAAAATTTTCAAATGGCTTCCTATCATAGGATTAAATCCTAAGCTTCTCACCATGGCCTTGGTGGTGGTGGTGGTGGTGGTTGCCATCAAACAATTCTGACTCATGACTATCTCTTTTATGTCAGAGCAGAACTTCTCCATAGGGTTCTCAAGGCTGTGACTTTTGGAGGCAGATTTACTAGGCCTGTTTTCAAGGGACCACTCAGGGACTCCCACCATGGCCTACATGACCCTAAAGGACATGGCCACTGCCTTCCTCTTGGATCTCTTCTCACACCACTCTCTCCTCAAATCCTGCGATTCCCACTGGCCTTCCTTCTGTCCCTGGAACACTAAAAACTCACATCTACCTCTTAGCCTTTGCTCTTTCTCTTCTCTCTACTTGGATTTGGTATCAGTTTCAACGTCACCTCCCAAGGAGGCCTCCCTGATCTTCTTAGCTATACGAGCATCCCTACAAGGTTGCCCATACCCTCAGGTTCTCCACTCACTACTTATTTTATTTTTTTCAGAGCACTTATCTTTGTCTGGATTTAGTTAATTGTTTATAGGATTATTGTTTGTCTCCATTCACTAGAGTAAAAGCTCCAGAAGGGCAGAATTTGTCTTGTTTACCACTCTGTTCCTAGCACCATGAATAGTGTCTCGAGCAAAGACGACACTCAGTCACCAATGTGACTGGTTAATGAGTAAGTGAATCACAGCCCTGCCATTTCGTTGATACTCCAGTGGGACCAGCTTCCTAACAATTGTCCTCTCATCGATTACTGGCCTCAACACTCTCCTGCATTCTCTGCCTCCTCCACTACAGGAGAGTTCATCCTCTTGTATTTCTCACTTTCCTTGTTTGCCTCCACCCTCACAATATTGTTTCTTCTGATGGAAATGGCCCAGAAGATGGCTGGTCAACAGAGCTGTGCCTGGAGCATCTGTGACACAACCCACAGAGTGGGGCTAGGGTTGGCTGCGTCATAAGAAGGGCCTTTCAAGCCACACAGCCATGGTGCACAGGGGAGACTGGATGGAGACTGGGATTGGTTCTGGGCCCTATACTCCCCTAGATGTATTTCCTTGTTAGTTATCAGAGCCAAAGAACTCCTAGGCCCAAGTAGCTAAAGGCTATCATTCTAAGAGTTCAAAAAATACTCATCTTATAAAACAACAGGCTTAGCAGGGGCATGTGCCTATGCTGCCCCAAAAACCTGGGAACCAGCCTGAAGGAATTCCTAACAAAGCTGCTCTAGACCAACACGGCTCTCGATGGGCATCTGTCCCAGAGACTGGGTGTCTTCTCTGGTGTCCCACAAGAGGGATGTTTCTATCCTGCTGTTTTCTATTCACTGTGACCCTCCCTGAGTGCAGTGAAAAGGGTACTGGCCTTCTTAGCATGTCTAGTTCTGCTTATGAAAAAAAAAAAAAAA